AACAAATATTTAGTTTAAATATAACATGTTCGCGTTTTTTGTTAAACATTTGAAGAAAGATATAAATTTAACATAAGGGGATTGTTACCTAAAATTTAAATTATCGTTTATATTTTCATTAAGTAATAAAGTGATCACCCCATAATGACTACATATAGTATGATTTGAAATCAATTATGGATGGGAATCCGACAGAATGATATGATAAAAAGAACAAATAGGAAACGTTTATCAATCTAACATGTTTCGCTTTTATTAAACCTTCATCAGAGAATGAGATATTTAGTCTAAATATAAGAAGTCTACTGTACCTAAAGTGGGGATCGGTTTCTATTGTCATAAAGTGATTCATATAATAATAAAGTGAGATGATACCCCATAAATGACTACATATAGTATGATTTGAAATCAATTATTAAGTAATAAAGAGATCACCCCAGAATGACTTTTAGTATATCCCCTTATGGATGGGAATCCGACAGAATGATAAGATAAAGAACAAATAGGAAACGTTTATCAATCTAATATGTAAGATAAAGAACAAATAGGAAACGTTTATCAATGAAATGTTTCTTTTTTTATTAAACCTTCATCAGAGAATGAGATATTTAGTCTAAATATAAGAGTCTACTGTACCTAAAGAGGGGGGAAATTGTCATTAAGTAATAAAGTGATCACCCAGAATGACTACATATAGTATGATTTGAAATCAATTATGGATGGGAATCCGACAGAATGATAAGATAAAGAACAAATAGGAAACGTTTATCAATCTAACATGTTTTATTTTTTATTAAACCTTCATCAGAGAATGAGATATTTAGTCTAAATATAAGAGTCTACTGTACCTAAAGAGGGGGATCGGTTTCCTATTGTCATTAAGTAATAAATAAAGATCACCCCAGAATGACTACATATAGTATGATTTGAAATCAATTATGGATGGGAATCCGACAGAATGATAAGATAAAGAACAAATAGGAAACGTTTATCAATCTAACATGTTTCGCTTTTATTAAAGCTTCATCAGAGAATGAGATATTTAGTCTAAATATAAGAGAAAAATACAGAATGATGATAAAGAACAAAGGGGGATCTGTTTCCTATTGTCATTGAAATTTAATAAAGTGATCACCCCATAATGACTACATATAGTATGATTTGAAATCAATTATGGATGGGAATCCGACAGAATGATAAGATAAAGAACAAATAGGAAACGTTTATCAATCTAACATGTTTCGCTTTTATTAAACCTTCATCAGAGAATGAGATATTTAGTCTAAATATAAGAGTCTACTGTACCTAAAGAGGGGATCGGTTTCAATTATTGTCATTAAGTAATAAATGATCACCCCATAATGACTACATATAGTATGATTTGAAATCAATTATGGATGGGAATCCGACAGAATGATAAGACAAAAGAACAAATAGGAAACATTTATCAATCTAACATGTTTCGCTTTTATTAAAGCTTCATCAGAGAATGAGATATTTAGTCTAAATATAAGAGTCTACTGTACCTAAAAGGGGGATCGTTTCCTATTGTCATTAAGTAATAAAGTGATCACCCCAGAATGACTACATATAGTATGATTTGAAATCAATTATGGATGGGAATCCGACAGAATGATATGATAAAGAACAAATAGGAAACGTTTATCATTCTAACATGTTTCGCTTTTATTAAAGCTTCATCAGAGAATGAGATATTTAGTCTAAATATAAGAGTCTACTGTACCTAAAGTGGGGGATCGGTTTCCTATTGTCATTAAGTAATAAAGTGATCACCCCATAATGACTACATATAGTATGATTTGAAATCAATTATGGATGGGAATCCGACAGAATGATAAGATAAAGAACAAATAGGAAACGTTTATCAATCTAACATGTTTTTACTTTTTTTTATTAAACCTTCATCAGAGAATGAGATATTTAAAAAAAAAATAAGAGTCTACTGTACCTAAAGAGGGGATCGGTTTCTATTGTCATTAAGTAATAAAGTGATCACCCCAGAATGACTAACATATAGTATGATTTGAAATCAATTATGGATGGGAACCGACAGAATGATAAGATAAAGAACAAATAGGAAACGTTTATCAATCTAACATGTTTCGCTTTATTAAAGCTTCATCAGAGAATGAGATATTTAGTCTAAATATAAGAGTCTACTGTACCTAAAGAGGGGGATCAGTTTCATGGGATTGTCATTAAGTAATGAAAGTGATCACCCCATAATGACTACATATAGTATGATTTGAAATCAATTATGGATGGGAATTTGAGACAGAATGATAAGATAAAGAACAAATAGGAAACGTTTATCAATCAAACATGTTATTTTTTTTATTAAACCTTCATCAGAGAATGAGATATTTAGTCTAAATATAAGAGTCTACTGTACCTAAAAGAGGGGATCGGTTTCCTATTGTCATTAAGTAATAAAGTGATCACCCCATAATGACTACATATAGTATGATTTGAAATCAATTATGGATGGGAATCCGACAGAATGATAAGATAAAGAACAAATAGGAAACATTTATCAATCTAACATGTTTCGCTTTTATTAAACCTTCATCAGAGAATGAGATATTTAGTCTAAATATAAGAGTCTACTGTACCTAAAGAGGGGGATCGGTTTCCTATTGTCATTAAGTAATAAAGTGATCACCCAGAATGACTACATATAGTATGATTTGAAATCAATTATGGATGGGGAATCCGACAGAATGATATGATAAAGAACAAATAGGAAACGTTTATCATTCTAACATGTTTCGCTTTTATTAAAGCTTCATCAGAGAATGAGATATTTAGTCTAAATATAAGAGTCTACTGTACCTAAAGAGGGGATCGGTTTCCTATTGTCATTAAGTAATAAATGATCACCCCATAATGACTACATATAGTATGATTTGAAATCAATTATGGATGGGAATCCGACAGAAGGATAAGATAAAGAACAAATAGGAAACGTTTATCAATCTAACATGTTTCGCTTTTATTAAAGCTTCATCAGAGAATGAGATATTTAGTCTAAATATAAGAGTAATACTGTACCTAAAGAGGGGGATCGGTTCCTATTGTCATTAAGTAATAAAGTGATCACCCCAGAATGACTACATATAATATGATTTGAAATCAATTATGGATGGGAATCCGACAGAATGATAAGATAAAGAACAAATAGGAAACGTTTATCAATCTAACATGTTTCGCTTTTATTAAAGCTTCATCAGAGAATGAGATATTTAGTCTAAATATAAGAGTCTACTGTACCTAAAGAGGGGGATCGGTTTCCTACAATTGTCATTAAGTAATAAAGTGATCACCCCAGAATGACTACATATAGTATGATTTGAAATCATTTATGGATGGGAATCCGACAGAATGATAAGATAAAGAACAAATAGGAAACGTTTATCAATCTAACATTTTTCCTTTTATTAAAACTTCATCAGAGAATGAGATATTTAGTCTAAATATAAGAGTCTACTGTACCTAAAGTGGGGATCGGTTTCCTTTTGTCATTAAGTAATAAAGTGATCACCCCAGAATGACTACATATAGTATGATTTGAAATCAATTATGGATGGGAATCCGACAGAATGATAAGATAATGAACAAATAGGAAACGTTTATCAATCTAACATGTTTCGCTTTTATTAAAGCTTCATCAGAGATAAGAGAGATATTCAGTTTTGTTTCGTTTCTCATTGGTCAGTTATTTATCACGTGGATTAAACCCGCAGATATTTCTGTCTAACTCTAGAAAACGTCTAATAGACAGAGAGACATTTTTTTTATTCCCGAACGTGGCCATAATGTACTGGCCGTTTTCGGAAAAAATTAAAAATATGTCTACGTCTCAGTAGCCTACACAGTATTTTCAAAACGAGACTTTTTAAAAGAAAAGCATATAAATTCGTTGAAAGCGCCCGGAACAAGCGAAAATTTTGGATAAATTCTCCATAGACCATGTCCAAAAAGAAATCTTTTATTCGTACACAAGAAAAAGAGATATTATGTACACTATTTACATCATTCAGACTATTGTCCTCATCTTTGTCGCCATATTTATTACAATGTTTCGGCCGTTGTACGCTCCAGCCTTCTTCAGGTGGTTGGAATGTCGAACTGAACCCTTTATTTCGCTCACTGGGGTAGACTGTTCTAGTTCCACGTGCCATGTTTAATGGATGTCAATTATTAGTTATCTCCTGTTAATTCCCCTCTCCAAGTTCTCCACTGCCTTAACCGGGTATTGAACTCATACTCTCTGGGTCTTGTCACTGGATCTAACTAACGCCTTTATCCACTGTGCCATGTGTCCTTGATAGGCCGTAAAACAAAATAAACCTAAATCTCGATTAATTTTTTATGGTTTGTCAACCTTTTGAAGGTTATTTAAAGCCAAAAATATCTTTAGATTATAAGAATATTTTGGAGATAGTAATGATTAACTAATGCAAGTCCTACTAATTAACCCATGGCTGGGGGAGAAAAGGTGAATTCCTACCTTTTCCAAGATTAGTTGCGCGTCAGTGAATATAACGATGCCAACTGGAATTGAAACTCGACTCTCAGATTTCCAATTTCGAGTTATCCACCGACACATCGAAATCACCCATTTAGGTACTAACCTGGTTCGACGCTGCTTAACTTCGGTAAGTCCCTTTGCCTAAAGGACAAAATAACAAAAATCAACCTTACAGAACATGATAAAGTCGTAAACAAAAGATTATTTCCAAATTGCAGGCGCGAAAACAAATTTCTACTTTCACGTTGATGTCGACATCTTTCAAAGTGTGAAATGCGCTAATGTCAGTCTTGTTGTTTCAAAAGGAGGAATTCATTTTTTTATTTTATTTTATTTATTTGTTGTGGTTGTTGTTGTTGTTGTTGTTCCTGTTAATAAACCTACGCCCCACGCTCCTATCCCCCTCCCACGCCACCAAATGTACTGATGTCTGTTGGTCTGAGTAGGATTAGTTTTTACCAAACAATCGTGTACTGTTACGATCGAGAAAATTCGGGCATTCTCCTTTAGATATAAATAAATACAAAAGAAAGAAAGAAAGAAAGAAAGAAAGAAAGAAAGAAAGAAAGAAAGAAAGAAAGAAAGAATATATAAATAAAAAAAAGAAAAAAAAGAATAAAGGAGGTGAGAAGAAAGAAAGAAAGAAAGAAAGAAAAAAGAAAGAAAAGAATATATAAATAAAGAAGAAAGAAAGAAAGAAAGAATAAAGGGAGGTGAGAAGAAAGAAAGAATGAAAGAAAGAAAGAAAGAAAGAAAGAAAGACTATATAAATAAAGAAAAAATAAATAAAGGAAGAATAAAGGGAGGTGAGAAGAAAGAAAGAAACAAACAAACAAAGAAACAAACAAACAAAGACTATATAAATAAAGAAAAAGTAAAGAAAGAAAGAAAGAAAGAATAAATATGGTGAAAAAGAAAGAAAGAAAAAAGAAAGAAAGAAAGAATAAAGGGGGGTAAGAAAGAAAGAAAGAAAGAAAGAAAGAAAGAAAGAAAGAAAGAAAGAAAGAAAGAAAGAAAAAAGTGTGTCCACCTTTATTCCTCCCTCTCTTGACACTCTTAGCCATCTCTCTTTCTTCATCCATCTCTTCACCTTTTTCTCTATTTTTGACCCCTTTATTTTTATATTCTTTCTTTTTATTCTTTCTTTTTATTCTTTCTTTCTTTTTATTCTTTCTTTCTTTTTATTCTTTCTTTCTTTCTTTCTTTCTTTCTTTCCTTCTTTCTTTCTTTCTTTCTTTCTCTGTACGCCTTTCGTTCTTTCTTTCTTTGTCTTCTACTCCTTTCCTTCTTTCTCTTATATATCATTTTTTATTCTTTTCCCCCCTCGACATTATTTTGTTTCAATGTTTACGTGTCTCCCATTGTCTCAATCCTAATTTAGTAAGAACAGAAAATAAACTGAAATAAACCAGTCGTATATTAAATCTTAAGACATCGCTTAAATCATGGAACTTTCAATGGATCTTCATCTGGACAAATTATTTTTATGATTAAAAGGATGTTTTCCAGATAAACATTCTGGTCATATGTATACGCATATATCTATGCCTACACAGAAATTGTAGGCGCGTGCTCGAGGGGTTAGAATGTTAGTATTCCGATCATGTGACCCTGACTGGAATCCCACCACGGTCGGTGGGTCAAGGAGGTAACTTCCTGATAATATCAGCCCGGGAAAACATTGAGGTGTGTCTGAAAAACCGTACCACGGGGTAAGATTAGGCAGACATTTAATTACTGATTATGTCAGATCCTGATCGTCAGGGAAAATATTTGATGGGATTGTAAAATTTAGGGGGAATATAATAATTGTTTAGTGATAGAAATCTTGCTAATTAACCCATAGCTGGAGGAGAAGAGGCGAATTCATACGTTTCCCAAGAGCAGTTGCGCGTAAGTCCGTAACGAACCCAAGGGCAATTGGAAAGCTAGTCTCCAGTTAACAATTCCGAGCCATTATCCATTACATCGCCTCTACTGACCAGACTTGATGCTCCTTAACTTGGATGATCGTACGGGAATCCGTGTTTTAACGTGATGTGGTTATAAGCTGTTTAAGTATAAACCACAAGATGGTTCTGTGGTTGTTGAAAATGCACAAATGTTTCTCAGCTGGTGCCTGCAATAAGGATTAGCTACCTTTCCTGTTTCGTATCTCGACTGCTCGAATTTAAGCGCAGTACTAGATTGGCAGTTTGGTCTCATCATTTTATTGTTGAAATTACTAAATGTAACTGTAAGTTCTATTATAATATTTCCTTTTCACGTCTGTGAGACTGCCTTCCGAATTCTTGCTTCCCAGTCAACGACAATCATCAGCAATTAGAAATCAACGTCAGGCGCTATCGTTAGTCTTTTTAATGTCCTTTCTCCGCAATAAGGTTTATCTCACATTCTTCTTTTGTTGCTGTTTATTCATTTCATTTTGGGATAAAATGATTAGGCATCAACAAAAAAAGACCAACAAACGTGCATACTTTGGAAGGTTGACAATAAACGAAGCAGCTTTTTGCCCTAACTGGTGCTAGAGTGAGCAGGGGTTCTTCGGCTAGTGTCGGATTATTAAGTATACACAGACTGTTTTGAGTTGACAGAGATGTGAGTGAAACTAGCCAATTGCAGATACATCAATGAAACCTGATCTACAAACAGATTTCTTACAAAGAAAACATATTCTTTTCATACAAACCTATCCTAAAAATTTTCTCGGCATTAAATAACCCATTGAGGTGTTGATATGCCGTAAAACAAAATAAACCAAATCAAAAATACATCAATGAAACGTGATTTACAAGCTAATTTCTTACAAAGAATACATATTCTTTTCATACGAACCTATCCTAAAAATCTTGTCGGCATTAAATAACCCATTGAGATGTTGATAGATCGTAAAATAGAATAAACCTAATATCTACATTAATTAATTTTTTATGGCTTATCAACCTTTTGAATGTTATTTAAAACCAGAAAATATCTTTAGTTTATAAGAATATTTTGAGGATAATAATGATTTACTGATGCAAATTCTACTAATTAACCCATAGCTGGGGGAGAAAATGTGAATTCCTACCTTTTCCAAGTTTATTTGTTCGTCAGTAAATATAAGGAATCCAACTGGAATTGGGACTCGAGCTGTTAGCATCGGCACATCGAAATCTTAGAACAACTAGAATTTCCAAGCGGTTACCCATTTAGGTACTAACCAGGCTCGATGTTGCTTAACTTCGGTAAGTCCCTTTGCCTAGAGGAAAAAATTTTTAAAAATCGGTAAATCTGCTTTTTAACACCCACGCTAAATTTCTCTTAAAATTTCCCCAAATCGTCAGAATTCCGTGTAAATGTACATGCGGAACTCGAATTAACAATTAAATTATGAAGAAACCTACCATTTTGGAGTTATCTACAAGAAAAAGTCGGACTTCTTGATGGTCATTCGTCCACCATTACAGGCATTGTTTTAATACATTCTGCCCTGACTAGTATTCAAGATTTCCGGTGGCGCATTCATAAAATTGTGGCCTATTTACTTCTTTTTACAGCTTTATCTCTTTTTGAAATCACTACGCGTTATCTAATTGTTTTTTTTTTTTGTTTTTTTTTTATAAGTATAGTCTTATTTATAACAGGAAACTCTAAACAAAAACAAATTAAATAATACAATAAAATCTTTTTTTTTCGGCGTAGAATAGCAATGACAAATTAAAAAAACAAATTAAATAATAAAAATAAAGCATTTTTATATTGTAAAATTGAAAATAAAATAAAAATTAATGAACAAACTTGGTAAAGTAGAAGTGTTGATTGTATTGCTTAATTTTTTTAAATTTGTCCCCTTTTCTACACAGAAAGAAAACCCCACCTCTAACCTTAACACCTAACTCTAAGGTTAACCCAGTATATTGTATTATTTAATTTTTTTTAATTTGTCCCCTTTTCTATACAGAAAGAAGCCAAACCAAATCCCTCCTAACCCTAAAAAAAAAAACAATTACATTTCTTTATGGCAGTGCGTAGGGATTTTCTGCAAGGAAAGTCTGTAAAAGAAATAAATAGGCCAAAATTTTGATTCCGCCAGCGGAAGTACTACGCAGTGAATCAGTAATCATGATGGCAGTAATGATTGACGAATGACCAACAAGAAGTCCGATTTTTTCTTGTCTATAATTCCAAAACGGTGGGTTTCTTCATAATTTAATTGTTATTTCGAGTTCAGCATGTACATTTACACGGAAATATGACGATTTGGGAAAATTTTAAGAGATATTTAGCGCGGGTGTTGAAAAGCAAATTTACCAAAAAATCAACCTTCCGGAATATGATAAGGTCGTAAGCATAAGATTATTTCCAGATTGCAGACATGAAAACAAATTTCTAATTTCAAGGTTATATTCGTGTCAATGCAAACGAACCCAATCTGAATTGGAAGTCGGCAGTCAGATTTCGAATTCCGAGTCGTCAATAAAGTTTATCTTAGATTCTTTCATTCTCAGCAAGCCCTTGCTTGGGATGAACATGATTAAACAAAAAAAAAAGTAAATAAACGTGCATACTTTGGAAGACTGACAATAAAGGAAGTAGCTTTTTGTCCTGACGAGTGCCAGAGCGAGCAAGGTAGTTATTAAGGGATCTAGCCCCCCACCTGGTGTCGTCTTCCTAAGTATACACAGAATGCGTTGAGTTGACAGAGATATGAGTGTGAAAAGCCAAATGCTGATAATCGTTTTGCCGCCCACGAAGAAAGGGTAATGTGAAAATGTCTCGGTCAGCAATAAACAGAAATGACTCAATAAGTAAATGCTATAAAAATTGACGCTTGCTATGAAAATATGAAACAATTTAGTATAATTAGTAAAAAGGATACGTGCAAATGATTTGATTAATTATTATGTTTGTCGTAAGATCTAGTTTTACAGAGATAGATAGACGGAGAGAATTTTACTAGATAGATAGATAGATAGATAGATAGATAGATAGATGATAGAGATAGATAGATAGATGAATATGAACAGGAATAGATAGATAGATAGATAGATAGATAGATAGATAGATAGATAGATAGATAGATATGAAGAGGAGGCAATAGACAGATTTGAAGGGAAGGATAGAGATAGATAGATAGATAGATAGATAGATAGATAGATAGATAGATAGATAGATAGATATGAAGAGGAGGCAATAGACAGATTTGAAGGGAAGGAGATAGATAGATAGATAGATAGATAGATAGATAGATAGATAGATAGATAGATACTGGGAGAAAAAAAAAACAGATAGATAGATAGATAGATAGATAGATAGATAGATAGATAGATAGATAGATAGATAGATATGAACAGGGAATTAGATAGATAGATAGATAGATAGATAGATAGATAGATAGATAGATGGATAGATAGATAGATATGAAGAGGAGGCAATAGACAGATTTGAAGGGAAGGAGATAGATAGATAGAGATAGATAGATAGATAGATAGATAGATAGATAGATAGATATGAAGAGGAGGCAATATACAGATTTGAAGGGAAGGAGATAGATAGATAGATAGATAGATAGATAGATAGATAGATAGATACTGGGAGAAAGAAAAACAGATAGATAGATAGATAGATAGATAGATAGATAGATAGATAGATAGATAGATAGACAGATAGATACAATACCCGGATGATGACATTGTGTTAATGTTAAAAGTACTCTTAATAAATAATATATATCAACGTGGTAATTTTCTCACTTCATTTAATAATGGCATTAAAAACTCGTCCGTGAATATAAAAAGCATCCAATTGAAAATAAGTAGAAGATAATTGTCTAAATTAGTCAATGGAACATGCCTCAAAATATAAAATATATATATATATATATATATATATATATATATATATGGTGGAACCTCGGTTTATGAATTTAATTCGTTCCTGAAGCCCGTTTGTAAGCCGAAATGTTCGTAAGCCGAAATGTTCGTAAGCCGAAACTGTTTCTCCAATAAGAGCCAATGTAAAATAGATTAATCTGTTCCTAAGATGATTGCTTAACTTTTACAACAGTACTTTGTGTACAAGTTTATACACAAAACTAATG